TCCTTTAAGTCCTAGCGGTCCACTACCTTCTACCCATCCCATGATTGCTCAAACTGGCCCTTTATGGTACCCATAAATGGGTACAAATCAGTCGATCTACTACCACTTCGAACCGGGGTTATCGAAATGATTGCACCATTTCGGACCAGATCGGATCGCAATGATTGCACCTCGTCGATCCAGCCTTGACCAGAATGACGGTGCCTCCAGAATGATGGCTCGAGTCAGAATGATTGTTCTGGTTGCGCACTTGAAGTAGGCGACCCCTCGCAGCTGATTGGTCCATTTCCATCCGTCTCACATTCTCCAAATTTCTCAAGCGCTTCACCACACCACCCTGTTGACGCTTGAGACAGTGTCTCTTTAAAATGCGCCCCATCTTGAGAAGACGCTTCTAGATAACATGTCGATGCTGAGGAAACTCGTCCAGCAACCAGTTCTTCACGTTGCGGTAGTAACTCATCACCGTGTTGCGCTTGCCTAGCTCGCCGCCTCGACCACGACCAAATGCGAGATGCATCGCAAACCGGTCAAGCAGCGTTACAAAGGCTGATCCCTTGACGTCCGCCAGAGAGTGCTGCGTACAAATTCAAGCGAGGTGTTCTCCGACTCTAGAAATCCCTTGAATATGTTGATCGCTGTAGCCTGCGTTCGCTTAGTATTCTCGGGGGCGAGGTCTTGGAGACTCATGATTTTATAGTGAAGTGTCGGCTGGCTGCTTGATATTAGGCAAGTATGCGAATAACTTTATCTTTGTATAAGCGAAAAAATGTCTGGCTGTCGCAACCGACATGATGCGTCGGCCACGTGTCGGCCACGTGTCGGCCACAACTTAACCTACCCCTAAACAATTGTATTAGACAAAATTAATCAGACGTTGTGTATGATTTGTTAAAAACTTAAAGTAATTGTGCTATTGGCTCGCTCCTCACTTACTCAAACCTAGTATAAAGTAGTTATGTCGGTAGTTTAATGATATTCATCCATACTTTGGTGAAATGGAAATGCGTGCGTCAGGAGTTTGATGATGCTGTCGAAGCCCGTTGTGCTACGACAGAAAAGGACAAGACGAAGATGCTGAGATGCGTCAAGAATTCGTTCAATCGACAACTTCTTGAAACATTATGCAAGTTCGAGTGGAACACTACTGCTGATGATGCGACGGAAGAGAGGATCGTTGCCGAACTTGACAAAACTGTCAACAACGTAATGAACGATTCCATCATTGACTCTTGACTCGATTTTCAAGAATGAGTTGAGAATGGACCTACGAGCACGCGATGTGAAGGCGGGAGTCATTAAGTTCATCGTGAAGTGTGATGCGTTGATCGTGCAACACGATCTAACAAGTACAGTTTCGACTGCTGCCGGGATAAAAGAAAAGTGCAAGGTGCTGAAACATCACGTGGAACTTGCAACTTTGTGAGACATTGTTGACACGTATCATCGCCTCGTCGATCCGTCAAAGTAAAATGGATGAGGCCAAATGATATCATCTTGTGAAGGAGAAAATGCTTGAGCAGGAGAAAACGTTCAACCTACTTGCCAAACGGAAAGTACAATAACCACGACACCCAGGTTAGGATGGGAAATCTTGACGTGGTAGTGAAAGGAGCCATAAAGCAAACAGCAACCGACGTGTTGCTGCTGTCGGTCAACGCAGCAGCGCTAAAACTCCTTGAGCTGTGGTGACACCAAGCTCGTCGACTGCGGCGAAGTCAGAGACGGTGATCAAACCAAGAAGGGAATGCTATCACTGTTCCGAGAACCACTGGTTGCGTCAGTACCCTGACCTTGATGAAGCAGCTAAGGAAGCTCTACTAGCCGAGCGGAAGGCCAATAAAGTGACAAGTGGCAACGGGTATAAACGTTGTCGAGCTAAACGACCAGAGAACAAAACTACCACCGGTTTGACGACCGTGCAATAGCTTTGTTAAATGGCACGGTCGAGTTGTCATACTGCGCTGATAGTGGCTGTGATTGGAATGTGATTTCACGGAGCCAAGTTAAGCTACGCAGGGCACAATATTCTTCAGTCGAACGAGTCGAATTGAGTGAGCCAGTTAAATCGAGAGCAGTTGGTGGTACTACTTTGACTTCAACTCATGCTGTTGACTTGAGATTGACACTCAATACAACTGCAGGCCCAGTGCGATGTCAGAAATCGAAGCGTTGCTTGATTGTTGAGTCGGAAGATGAGTTTCTCGTTGGAAAGTTTTTGCTTGCCGAACTCGCCATTAATATCGATCAACAGTTGGAGTATCTTGCGTCTCGAGGATCAGATGATGATGACTCCTTTGATGAACCTGTTGGCATCCACCCCTGCAAAGCGAACGTAGCTGACGTGGTGATGAATGTGGTCAATGCTCTTGTCAATGATGCTATTGATCGCGGTGTGGTAGACGATCACATTACCACCCGACTGTACGATGTGGTTCGAAGGTATTGCGGTTGGCGACTCAAGTTGGGGTAACGATCCACCCGCCAGGGCGCAGCCATTCAAGCTCAGGTTGAAGCCCAATGCCAAGCCATACCGATGCAAGGTCCGACAGAATAGCCCAGATAAATCAGCTTTCCTTGAGACCTTTAACAAGCGGTTACTGGAGCTGGGTTGGGTATACGAGAACAGAGAGAGGCAGTAGCGTCGTCCTGCTTTACCTGTCAGAAAGCCAAGTACCAATGAGTTCAGACAGACAAACGACTACAAATAGCTGAACTTTGTGATGGAGCCTATCGCTGGAGTCATGCCAAATCTTGAAGTTGTACTAAAGCACTGTAGGGGCAAAATGTACTTCGCTATACTCATCTTCTTGAAAGCGTTTTGGTAACTCTCTTTAGACAAAAGCAGACAAGACAGACAAGAAATTCTCTCGTACATGACGGACAAAGAAGTGTTTACACCAACAAGAGAACCTCAGGGAAACACCGACGCGGCGCTCCATTTTCAATCGACGGTAGAGATGGTGTTGGGTGACTTAGTCCACAAGTGTGTTTTCGAAGAATCGTAAACCGACATGGAGTTGGTCACGATCCTGAACGAATCCGGGCATTGCGTGATATGCCGACGTTATCCACGGCAGCTGAGCTCCAACAGTTTCTGTGCGTCAGTAATTGGATGCGAGTTGGCCTTATAGACCATACACGAGTTGCTCGACCACTGCAGGAGAGACTTGCAGCTGCATTAGCCGGTACGAATAAAAACCCGAGCTGTCGCAGGTTTCCGAATCGGCTTGACAATTGCTGAGAGGAAATCTTTCGAAGGAGTGAAAGAACTACTTGGGAACTCAGCGATGTTAGCCTGTCCAGACCTAGCCAAGCAACTGTGTCTGCTCTCAGACGCACCCGAAACGAATGGGGCATTGTGGTCACTTAAGTGGTACATTGGCGGCCGGATATACCCATTCAAGATCAGGATCACGAACTTCTCTCAATTGGAGTGTAATGGAAAAGGAATCGTACCCCATCGTGCATGCATGCGAGAAGTCCGACTATCTTCTCTTGAGGTCACAAGGCTTCAGGCTAAACTGTGACCACCAAAACACTATCTACTTGTTCTCACCGACGAAGGAGCTGAAGGAACATGTCCGTGATAAACTGCTGCGTTGGCCAACAAAGCTAATTGAGTATCGCTATACTATAGAGCACATCGAAGGCATCCATAGCATCTGGGCAGATTTAATATCGAGATGGGGAGGCAAGCCGCAACCTGCTGCACGGATTTACTCAGCCAAGCGCTTTACACGCAGTAAGGGAAGGCAACTGGTGAAGCAACTGGAACCGACTTGACACCACTACGACCACTCGATCAGGATGGTTTGAATGGGCTACGGTAGATGAAATCGGCAGCGTCCAAGCGCAGTATGCTATACCAAAGGGTGCTGAACTTGAAAGTGGCGATCTATGGCGTTTGAATGGATTGATTTGGAGGCGACAGATTTGATCGAACGACTGTTAGTTATTGTTCACTGTGGACGGAGCGGACATCGTGGTATGCACGTGATGGAAAATCACGTCCGCCGGTTGTTTTTTTTCTTAGTGGTCTCAGCAAGATAGTGCGCGCTTACTGTGCGAAGTGCCTACTCTGCTTGCATGTGAAGGGCAGCGTGGTGATATCACGGCCGTATAGCGAGACGCACCACACATTCGAGCGCAAATCAGCCACCAATGGTTTTTTTATGCTTGGTGATTCTCTTGGCACATCGCGGTATGTTTTGGTATTGAAGGATGAAGCGAACCATTTTGTGGGGCAGATTGCGTGTGATGGTCCTACTTCCGACGTTGCAACTACGGCTATTCTTTTAGACTGGTACAGTTGTTACGGAGTACCCACTGTATGGATTAGCGGCTCGGGCTCGCACTTCAAAAAGCAAAGTCGTCGATGAACTAAGTCGACGGTTGAAAGGCCGCCAAGAATTCGTACTTGTCTACCCGTCGTGGAGGAACGGCTCAGTGGAGCAGGTAAACCGAGACATTTTGCAGGTTCTTCAAGCTTTGGCACTGGATTTTCGAGTGACCATACATGACTGACCGTATCTACTAGCTCTCGTACATTCAAGTATCAACCATTCACCGGTCCTCTCATTTGCAAACCGAGCGCCCGTTGAGCTATTCGCGGGCATGCAATGGTCGAATACGTAAGACAAGTTTTTATTCTTCCTGACGGGAAAGGGAGAATAGGTACGTTGACAAACCCTCAATCAAGTACAGAGCTGAACCTCGTCCAACTACGCGCCAATCTTAGAAATATGCACAAAGAAGTCAAGGCCAAACGCACTCGACGGAGTGAGCGCTACCGTAAGCGCCCCCACCACGAACATAAAGTAAACTTCTCGGCCGGCAACTACGTGCTACGCCCACGTGTCGACGAGAAGCTACACGCTAACAATCTTAAAGTCATGTGGGTTGAGCCATATCGCATAATGGCTAGCGCTAATTACTTTTTACTGTGAGCAGCTAGTCAACGGCAGCACAATGAATGTGCACCCATCATGACTGAAATTCAACGCAGATGATTTGCTACACGTCTGTGAAGATCTCCTCGAACGAAAAGCTCCTCAGGGGACATTGCTGGCTTTAGAAGCGCGTGGATAATCGAGTGAATGCCGACATGGGTTCGTTTGAAGTTAAGGTAAACCTCAAAATGGTCGGGTTTGGAAGCTATTGAGGACGCTTGAGAGCCGCTGGAGACGATGAGCGAAGACATACCGCAAACACTGCTACAATACGCAAATGAAACAAATGACGATGATTTCCTGCGCGATGTAACAAGTACTACCGAACGAAAGCAACACCAAGGTTCAACACGACGTATTAGCTGAGCTACAGCACGATCCTTTCAAGCTGATTGATCTGTTTGAGGAGGGAAGCCATTACACTCATGGTGTAAAAAAAAAAAACTTAGCGTATGCGGGCACCAGCGTTTAGAAAATGGAACTGGTACTAATAGAAAACTTTAGGCATCTTGTACACACTAACATCCAGTGGACTGGCATCCCCCCTTCTCTTTCTGTTGAGAACTTCATGGTCACACGCAGCGGGAAGTGTCAATACTTAGTTGTTAGTCAAATTGTAGGTCACCGTGATACTAAAAGGAGTTCTTTGTCATTTAGTTTATGCATTGTAGGTAACGTTCTTCGTAAACTTGTCCAGAAACAAGGGCTGCACGTGTTTTACAGCTAGTTTATATTTGGAGAGCATTGATCAGGCGTGAGCTGGAGCAAAGGTAATCACTTTTTATAAATGCCAAGCGGCTCCTTAATCGATCTGGAATTCCGTCCTGAGATTCCCGCACTATTTTCGGCCCCAGGTCATTTATATAGGAGATTGTAAAAATCGTAAAGAGTCTAATCGGAATTTACAGGATGTAATTACTTTTATCCTTTTTTTTTCCAGAATATTTGTCAATCAGACATGCCCAAGACGAGCAAGGCTAAGAAGACCAAGCAATCTGTCGCTACCGATGCCCCGACCCACCCGACTCTCGTGGCAGCCAATGCGGTTTCCGACGTGATGGTAGATTTCCAGGCCTTCTCGCACTACGCACGCAACGGCGCCAACGTGACAATCCGCGGCGCCAAGTCCAAAGACCTATCCAAGTCGACACGAGACCACATCGTGGAGCTCTTTGAGAACAACATGAAGAGTTTATATCAGGCGTCGGAATGGGGATACGACGCTGCAGCTAAACGTACAGAGTTGTTCGAGGGCGAGGCGCGCTATCTTTTAGTAAGCGATGAAAGTGAGACACTCGTGGGCTTCGCGCACTTCCGCTTTGTGGATGATGACGGCGCCCTGGTGCTGTATCTGTACGAGGTACAACTGGCCGCCATGGCGCAGCGCCAAGGTATCGGTAAGTTCCTCATGCAGTTGCTGCTTCTGGTGGCGAGGAAGCATGGGATGGAGCTGATGGTTCTCACCGTATTCAAGAACAACACGGGCGCCATGAGATTCTACAGAGAGCGATTGGGCTTCGAGATCGACGAGACGTCACCGAGTGCGTGTGGAGACAACTCGCAAGACTACGAAATCCTGAGCAAGAGCGTCGTCCAGAGCAAATAGAGCGTAACAATAGAACGAGAGCACAATAAACTAATCATGCTGTTGCTCGTATAAATAACTGGAAACCACGCTGTATCATCAGGAGCGCACCCACTTTCTCCTTTGGTCTGCATTATGGGGTCTCCTCGACGCAGTAGCTCTGGATATCGCCGTGCGACGCTAGGACCACAGCTTTTGATGAAAAAGAACACGTTCCAGGGTCTAGTGATCCCAGTGACCCCGCTTCAACAGCAACAAGATGTCAACGCGTTCGCCTCGGAGGCTTTGGCTAAGCAGCCGCGGCTGCGGAAGTTCCAGGAGTTTCCTCGAGCCTCTCGAATTCGCACTGCAATCAACAAAAACAGTAGCACGAGCGTCGTGGAATTAGTTGAAAAGTGCGAGGATGACACGTTAATCGGTGTTGGAGACCGACTGCTGTACTTGCTGCAGCGTTGGCAAGTGACCAACGTGGTGCTGGTAGTAGCACATCATGATTCCAGCCTCAGTGGGCGTCTGCTAGGCGGTGCTGAGCTCTACAAGCTGGCCACTGAAGCCGCCAAGCTGGTTCTGGAGCAGCACTACCTGGATTCCGTCGCTGAAGCCGTCAAGATCTCTGCGGCGCTCACTGCAACGGAAGCAGCTATTACATTACCACCCGAACAGAACCAAGAAAAGTTGCAGCAAGTGATCCCAGCGACGTGCGTCATGTCTAGCTATACAGTCCCTACTTGGCCGAAACATCACCAACCAACGAGCGATGGCGGAGGTCGCAAGGGCGTCAAGCAAGGCCGTATCAACCACTTCCGTCACCGCGAAATGACCGCTACAGAACGGAACCAAGACGCAGAACGGGTCGAGGCTGTCTCGAACGAAGGCATAACCAACGTCCTTAGTGCCAGAACCACCGGGAGTCTGGAATGGTTAGGCATATCCCGCGAAGAATGGCGAAAACTACGCAGTATCCGGGTTCCAGTCCGAGAGCTGCACTATCTTTTTATGTGCCTCGTTATCCTCTTGGAGACGCCCATCGAGCAGCGCGATGCACGTAAGAGTAAACCCACTCCAAAGCAGCAGGAGCAGTTCGTACCGTCCGATTTTTCCTGGGCTCATTGTCGTCAAGTGTTGCATAAATCATCGGAATGGAGTCATCGTCTACGAACTGTGCGTGGTAGTACATTAGCCCCGTCTCAAGCCACTGCTTTGCGTGCCATCTTCCAAGAACCCACGTTCACTGAAAGCTCGTTCGTCCGAATCGCTGGAGGTGCAGGCACCAAAATTTATGCGTGGCTGCAAAAGCTGCTCGATGAGTACGATGAGAGAGATCTCGGCTTGTTGCGCATCGACGTAGCATCCGACGTCGCGTCGCAACCAGCGTCTCCAGCTTCTGTCGAGGCAAAGAACTATAGCGAACAACAAGAAGATAAAAATGATCCGGAACAAGCGGAAGAGAAGACATCGCCAGTTCTCCGAGCTCTTCAGAATGTCAATAAGAGCCCCAAGTCTCCTAGTCGGAAGCCATTCAAAATCATCGATCCTGGTCGACTGTTTGGTCGACACCATGTAACGCAATAAACTGTGTTGGCATTGATATGCTTCATTGATGTTACGACTTGTAACAAGTTAATCGGTGTAAATGGAAGAGATAAAGACCGTCTAGACGGCGTTGGCATTAGCGGTATCACGAACTTGGCGCTCGATTCTCTTGCGGATGTCGTCCACGGGTGAGGCGCGGTCTCTTGGTTTAGCCAGAAGGATAGCGGCGGTGATCAAACTGATGATAAGGATAGCGTAGACGAAGATGTTGTAGTCCCAGATCGTTCGCATGCCTTTCAAGTAGTGAATCTGTACGCCCATGAGCGTCCGCAATGCCGTGAGGCGGTCGTAGTCAGCGAACGCTTGGTCACAGAACTGCACCGACGGGATCGCACAGAGCAGAACCAACCCGAGGTTGAATATCAACGAGTTCATGTACGTCCCGTGGAGCTTCATCGGGTGCAACGCGATGCAAAAACAGCGCATGCCAAACTTGAAACAACCTTTGACTGCACATGCTAACAAGTAGGTGCTGAAGATACCGACAGAGATCGTGCCAAACAGCGGGAACCAGCGGTCGAACCAGATGAAGTACGTGTTGAGGAACGGCAGTAGCGGGGTGTTCGGCAACATGTAGAGTGCGATGTGGAAGAACCACATGCAGCTTATGACACTTGCGATGCAGCCCAGAAGAAGCTTGAAAATAGGCTTCAGCGGATTGAAGTTCCTGTACTCTTCGTGACAGAGTTTCAGGTCCACGACGTCACCTTCGAGCAAATAAACGGACTGTTTGAACTTGTTGAGCGTCACGAAATCCAGTCGTCGCTGCTTTTTGCGCTCCCAAGAACTCTGGCCATGACCGGGGCGATCCATACTCTGCTTGATGGAGCGGCCGACCTCCAGCAGCTCCACCGATCGCCGCTGCAGAATCAACTTCTGAATTGCATACACGTCGGCACTGATGAACTTTGGACGATGGAAAAATGCCCTGCAGATAACACAAACGTTGACATTGAGCTCAATGAACATCGTAATACGACTACAAACTAGACGTACAGGATCAAGTCCATGGGCAGCGCGATAAGGCCAATGCCGCAAAAAATCGAGAAGCCAAACCACCCGACGAAACTCGTGAGCCCCGTGACGTACACTGGCAGCGACACGTCCACTGTCAGCGTTATATGCTGCACAGTGACGTTGCTGGCCACGGTCACGATAGTACTGGATACTGTGGTGCCATCAACGTACGGCTGGAATCCCTCACTGTCCGACATCGAGTTCACTTCCAATGCGCGCATGGGGACACTACTCTTGGCACACGTGAGATACAGCACGGTGATCAACGCTGCAGCAACGAAAACCGTGCCCAGTTCCATCTTGATCGCCTCCCCCCACTGACTTTTCTTGGGGTTATCCTCGCCGTCGTCCGCCTCGTAGTAGAAGATCGCGAACGGGAGCAATACGACGAGGAAGATGATGATGGACAAGAAGACCATGAGCCAGAGTAGATCCATGTTGATATTGCCGCACACAGTATTCCATCCTTCCGCACAGCCGATGGCTGTCGAGTTGTTTGCCACATCCAGAGGCAGCAGAAGCACTGTCGCCTCTGCGAAGAATAAACCGAAAATCTTGGGACAACAGCAGTATCAGTACCGTACCAGGCAAAATGCATAAAGATATTAAGACGCTTTCGTACCACGAGCGCTTTTGGAAAGTAAGCGGTGTTCTTGTCATCGTCGTGCTGGAAGTACACGAGGATGTAGACGTTGCAGATGAGCAACGCCACCGCAATGATAATCACGACGGCCAGCAGGAACAGATCCAACGCCATGGCACTATCAGGCAAGCTATTCCTTCCGGGCGAGTCCGCTCTTTTTGGTATCGAGTGTCGAGGTGCTCGGCCTGACTACTTGCCTTTCTCGGCGACATCTCGTAACGGATGGCGACGGCCATCGAAACGGACGGGTACTTCTCATTATAAATCGAGATTGAATGGGTAGACGTTGTGATTACAGCGAAATCGTCTACCCTAACGGAGCAGCTACGCTATTAGTGTTTAGATTGTGGGCCTCAGGAGGTTCTTTTGACGCATCGTGACGGCAGTCGTAACCCCGCCACTCATGCAGTAATTGGACATAGTGTTGTAATCATCACCGGCTTCCACAGTACGACAAGATTCAATTCAAATACCACACAAATACCACGGATACAAAGTACAATAGCTCTCTCTCACTCAGAAGAGCAAAAGCGCGAATGGCGTTTCGAGAAGGAGAGCGGATATCCCGGCTTTTCTCGTCCAACCATCTGACGTGGTGTGGTGCACATAAAATGTGACGGAGTGTCTGGATTGGTACATGGTACCATATCACAAATCCCAAGTTTGGATGCTATTCAGTCAGTTGCCCAGAGCAACTTGTTTTGTGGTGCAAGGTGCCAATGTTTGCCGCCGCCGCCGGCCCGCCGCACCGAGCTCTCACCCATGCGTCGGTAGCAGAAACGTTTACATGTACATGTACAGCACCCGGCAAGCCTGCTGTGTCGCACTTCCTCCAGTGAAAAATTTGCGACGTCGCTGAAGGTTGAACGCTTGGATCACCTTGACCAGCTGGATATGCAGACACGACATGAAGCCTCCGCGAAGCTGCGTTTGCTGTGGGCTGACCATGGATCCCATGGATCAGCCAGTCAGCGGCTTGCCTCCAAGCTGGGATCCAACTGGTCCGAGTGTAAGCCTGACGCCGAAACGTTGACGCGAGGCCGGAGATCACCCATTTCGACGCCTTGTCAAACATAACGTCGTAGTGCACCTTCGACAAGCGATCCGAGCCTTGCCCACACTCACGCCACGCGACATCAACGTTTTGTTCGCATAACCGGCTCCTGCTACATGTAAATACAAGTAGAAGGGTCGTGTGAATTGGGTCTGCGAAGTCGCTACCAGCGCCGGCTTCGAGCTTTTGGATCGTCCAAATCGAACGCTTGGGTGACGCCGGCGCGGACTCAGCGTCTGCACAACTTGCAGCGTTCGCCCGGGTTGCTGGGAGCTCGCCACGAACTGCGCACAGATTTGCTTTCCCAACGCTCGATCGAGTCGCTGCAGTACCGCCTAAAGTCACGCGAAGCGAGCGAGTTCAAGGGATCATCAGGGATTCATCGCACAGCTTGGTTGCTGACAGCAACTTGCTGTTCCATTGGCAACTTGCCATGGATCCCTCGTATGGATACGTGTTCCCGGGATTTCGAAATTCGAGGCTCGAATGAGTGTTTTGAAGGCTTGACGCCACACCAGGCTGTTCGGGCCAGCAGGTCGCCGTGACAAGGCAACTCTGTGACATAGTCTGTCTGCATGCACGACTCCAGCTGGCTGGCTGGCAGTCAGCCAAGGCTCTTCTCTCGAACGAGCCCGTCGCGGTGTCGTGAAAGGAAGATGACGTGAGACTTTGAGCCGCATTTACATCTGCGTGCTCCGGAGCCCGCCGACCAGGGACGGATACACTGCGTGCCATCTCGGGCACTGCTGATCGACTACGCGCACGTGCCGTTCGAAGCACCTGCGTATTTGACTCAATTGTGAGACTTGAGTTGGTGACGGCTGCAATGCTTTTCGATTGTCTGCGGATTTGTGTCGCCTTGCCAGCAACTCCATTTAACAAATCATAAATACGTAACATGGCGATCTTGCGAAGAGAAAACTCTCGGCGAGCGCTCGCACAATAACCTTCTCTGTAAATGACCATGTATTAACATTCTGTAAACACTCTTGTTTCACATGCACGGCTGCAGACTTGCAGTGCAGGTTCATATAGAAGTGAAGACTTCGTGATACCCATATCTAGAAGACAACGGCGGCAAGATGGAGCTGGATCCGGTCAGGCGAAGTCCAGCGCCTGTCAAGAAAAAACTTGTGACTCGCCACCGAAAAATATCTACACGTAAGGCTTACACTGCCTGGAGTTAGTCGAAGCGCCGTCGCACGCAGCACCACCTCCAGCAGCCTCTCAAGTTTGCTGCTTGCCGCGGCTCGGAAACACCCGATGATCTTCAACAGCAGCGACCGAGCAAATCGTGCGTGCCCTCGAATAGAGAGCTCGCTGTGTTGGTGCTGTAAATACATGCACGTACAGCCTGTAATGGCCCGCGACATGCTGGAAGCGCGTTTCACCTTCACAAGAGCGCTCGCGTGTTGTTTGATACTAGTACTTTAGTAGTCGCTCCGACGGCTGTAACATGCACAACGCCACAACCACCAGCATCATATTCTTGAAGTCAAGGAGAGCGAAATCGCGCTGTGCAAAAATTACGGCACACCCCTTCTTGTAAGCAGCGCCAACAATGTGCGAAACTCATCATCACAACCTCCCAGCAATGCACGCACAGCAATACCGTCACACTGCACGGAGCCTAATACGTGAATGTTGCTACAAAGACTCGAAGGGCTTTTTGGTGGATGAGGACAGTCGCCAGACAACCGCGGTTGCTTCGGTGAGCTAGAAATGCATGACATGCTGTGCCGGCCGCCGGAAAACCAATGGATCGATGAAGCGATCACGTTGCAGTAGTACACGCGTACCGTAGCCTCGTAACCTCGCTACCTCGCGCGAGCAATGACATTTTCTAGATACATGCATATACATCTACGTCGACGTCACACAAGTGTTTCTACTTGAAAGCGCAACGACATCTTCCTGATTCAGCTCGGAATCGCTCGCTTCTCGCTGATAGAAAAGCATCTCGGAGGAAATCCTACGCCCACAGCCGCCACGGCTCTCGCCTGCCATGTTGGTCGCGAGGAGTGGGAGAGTGGCGGACCTTGTGCGTTGGTCTCGGGTGGACATTAACAGCTGCGGGGAGCGCTTCCACCAGATGCTTCACCGCAATGACTTGGAGTTTGTAAGCTGCTGACTACTTGGAGCTAGTCAGTTCGGGTTAGAGGAAGTCGGACCACTGCCGCGGAGGTGCACTTGTTTGTAGCTCATCGGTCACGACAACACCAATCCTCGAAGGCGCATGCATCTGCCGGCTGGTCTGTCGCCGGGCGTGATCTTCGCTTCCAGGCCGCCCGATGGCCACCGCCGCTCTCACTCTTCATTTTGCGCGGCCAGGGAATCCCCTCCGACATCGGTACACTCATATCCGAGTCGCTGGATCAGCCCCCCGCCGATCCCAAAGCGAGCTCTTGCCTTTCCAAGCCTTCGTCGGTCTGTTCTCACAACTCCGCTTACGTTCGATTTCGAAGCGAATCTCGTCGTGCAACCGCTCCACATCCCGAGGAGCAAAGGCATCCCATCCGAGCGCGCGTTCCCCTGGTTCTGGGCCACGAGACTCCCTTCAAGCGGTGCAGCAGCAGGTCTACATCGTTAGCAACAAGTGTGTGAAGCCAGCCAGTGCCAACACGACGCCCCGAGACGATAGCCTCAGTTGTGAAATCGAGCTGCTCCAGACAAACACAGGCCCTGGACTTAGCAGCGTGGAAAATGTCCATTGAAAGCGTACAAGACAGCGACGCTACTGGCCAACCGCGGCCGTCTAACATGGCTAACAAGACTGTGCATGCACTACAGCCTCCCATGGCACAACAGACCCAGTATTCGGACATGCTTCTCGGCGATATGATGGGCTGTGACGTCGACGCCTGGTCACGTCCGCAGCAACAGCAGCAGTATGCTCCACAGCCACAACAGTTCGGCTTCGCCTGCCCTCCGGCAGTGCTCACGCGCCACACGTCGATGCCTGTCCGCCAGATGACGCCCACACAGTACCAGCAGCCACAGCCGACGTCGTTTTCCATGGGCATGCCGCCGACACTTGCGCGGCACCACAGTCACGGTTACGTATCAGTCATGCAGCAGCAACAGGGATACCAAGCCTCTATGAACGTGCCGATGCCTCCTCGCCAGGTGCACGTGAACGAAATGCAGCACCTTCTCGAGATCAGTATGGGCCAGCAGCAGCCTCTGCAGTACCACGTTCCGTCGCAGCGAATGATGAAGCCCGAGCCTATTTCGTCCTCCTCGGCCATGAACGTCGAGCCGATCGCCTTCACTCCCGCGGACAACAATGCTAAGGTTGCCATGGACGACCTTGACCCCATTGCCTACTCTGTGTTCGGAAACGCCGCCCCTAAGCCCGCTCTACCGGGTATGCCTCAGGACATCCAGCAAATCGAGTCGGCTTTTGACTCACTGGACCGCCTTCTACCCGAGATCGAGCAGGAGATGCTCTTCCGTTCCACCGAATTGGACCAGTTTGCTCAGGCCACCATCGCTGCTCAGGTGAAATCGACTACCAAGTCTCCTAAGAGCATGGCTACCTGCAAGGTTGAGGGATGCGAGCGTCGTGTGCGCTCCAAGGGATTCTGCAAGACCCACGGTGGCGGTCGCAAGTGCAGCATTGAGGGCTGCAAGAAATCGAGCCAGAACGGCGACTTCTGTATTGGTCACGGTGGTGGCAAGAAGTGCAAGGAAGAGGGCTGCGCTAAGGCGGCTCAGTCTCACGGTCTGTGCAAGGCTCATGGCGGTGGTGCTCGCTGCAAGTTCCCCAACTGCAACAAGAGCTCACAGGGGGGCGGTCTTTGCCGTGCCCACGGCGGTGGCAAGCGCTGCCAGGCTGCTGGCTGCCCCAAGGGCGCCCAACGCGGCAACTTCTGCGCCACTCACGGCGGCTTCCGCAACTGCAAGATCGAGGGCTGCGTCCGCACGGACCGTGGCGGAGGTTTCTGCGAGGTGCACCGTCGCGGTCGCCTCTGCAAGGTCGAGGGCTGCAAGAAGCTCTCTCGCAACCAGGGCATGTGCACGATGCACATCCGTGAGGACAAGCAGGTTGCTATCAACTCGAATCAGCCAGTGAACGCTGAACCTGTTGCTGCCGCCCTGGCCGTCTGAAGACCATGAAGGTCTTCAATTTATCCTGATCGACTTCTGGGCTTTCCGTCCTTCTCTTTCTACAAACTCTGCGTGAACGTCATCCCTCATTCAATTGGAAGATGAGGAGGGGAAGAACCAGAACAAGGAGTCGATGGCGGACTTTGCTCCGAGCTACCGCCTATCGCTCGGGCCTATTTGTCTCTATGTCTCAAGCTCGTATTCATCGGCGTCGTGCCAACCAGTCTAGTAGTCTACGTGAAATTCTTTGTCAAGTATTTAAAGCGCATGGTGAATCAAAGAAAAGCAATGTATCAACTTCATCTCTAGTGTCAAGTGTCTGCTTAGGCCGGTGACAGCACATGTTCGCCACGTAGCCAGCGTCTTGACTCTCTATCCCTCTACGCCACTACGATGTGGTGATGACGGGCGTGAACAAAATCATTGCTAAGAACGGCAGATGACAATAGGATTTGAGGTTTTCTCCTTGGAAAGCCCTTCAAGTATCCGAGCTCTCACTTCGACTCGATCGCTGCTTGCGATCCGTTTTGGCCGATCTCACGGCTCCAATGCAATCAATAGAGCTTTCCAACACCCGATGATGTTGCAATAGAGCGCTGACAACTTCACAACCTCATAATACTTGCATTGGTTTAGTTAATGGCTTAGCGATAAGTGTCTGGCAATATTTACATAGCGACCCTGGAACTTAAGTAATACGTACGCAACTTGAACAGCTCACGACATTCGTCCAGACAGGACGGCACTGGTCTTGGGTGACATGGACGCAGTGGACGAAACATCGTCCATGTCGTCGTCTTGCGGGATCTCCAAGTGGAGCACCCGCGCGTGGTGGATCTGACGAATCGGCTGTGGATGGTCGATCTGTGGAGGCAACGACGTCCGATGAGGGTGTGCAGCCTTGTCATGGGTATGATGTCCATTTTGACCCTGCTTGGCACTGTGATGCATCTTACCGTGCGGAGTCTTTGGCTCCTGCTTAGGTTGCTCCACCTTGACCGGGTTCTTGGCTGGTGACATCTTCGAGTAAAGATTCATCATCTCCTTCTTCATCTTGGCTTGATACTTGCTGTGTTCGCGACGGTATTCGCTCGTAAAATTCGCAATATGCGAGAGCAGCACGTCCAGTTCTTCCTCGGTATCTTCTTCCTCGAAATACTCCAGAAAATGAGCTTTAGCCGCGTTCAGCTTGTCCAGCAGAGTCTGAAGAGCATCCAACTCGGTCTTGACCTCCTTGCAAAACTTCATTAACGTGTCGTTGTACGCCCTCATCGCATCCTTGTTGTCTTCATTAGTGTCAGAACTGGGCACAGACGCCTCAGCCTCACGTAGAAGCTTCTGTAGCCCAGCCTCCAGTCCGTTCTTCTCCGATGCCAGCGAAGTGTACGCCACCTTGCTGCACTTGGAAATCAGGTCGATGTCCTTGTAAAAGTGCGCAAGATGCGGCACATCTCGCTCAATTGACTGCACCACGTACTGCAAAAATGTGATGCCGCCCACAAATGCCTTCGTTTGCGAAAACTTGACCAATGAGCCCAACGAGAAGGCGTCGACGCCTTGCTGTTCGTCGTCGCCGCCGAAGTTGAGCAGATTGCCAATCTGCAAAATATAAATAAATAATTGGCGTAGTTCAGCGCTTGAGCACACCTGGTACACTCCTCGTGTCACGAGGCCCAATGACTCGCGGAGCTCTTGCACTCGCGAGGGGAATTCCTGCTTGAAAACTAGACATCCCAGTTTCTCTTGGAAGCGAGGCACGTTGCGTACTTCCACAAGAAACTGCTCGGCAGTGCCGATACTTGCCATGTCGCCTTTGAAGGCGTTGACGGCCTCCATCTCCTTCCTGTCAGGCCACATATCCATGAGCGACCGAACTTGAGAAGGTGAAAGTACCGTCGAGTTCATGGCCAAAATTTCGCTCTTCAGCTCCGGGAACGACAGCTTGACACGCGCCAGAGTAATAGCGATGTTCTGGGACTTCTTCATGTCAATAAGCTGCACCATCGCCTTCTTCTTCTTAGCTGCAGTAGCCCCTTCAGACTTGGTAGTGGCATTGCGCTTCTTGCTCTCTGTTAGGTCCTTAACAAACAATTTTTCGAGCATCGCGCGACTCTCTTCGGAGATCTGAACCTGCTCCTTCGCCTCGTCCACAGCGTCACCACCCCAAAGACTGTCACGACGTGCACGGGTCCTTTTCCCTTCCCAGTGGAGCTTCTTACGGATCGAATCCTTACGTTTCAACGCCTTCTTGGGCTGCTCAGCAGGTACCGCTGCTCGACGAGGACCGTTCAATTCAGCCGGATCCAGTCCAGCCATCCGCATCTTTTGTTCCACAGCACCACGAGGCAAACCTAAGCGAAGCATTTGGAAATACTTGTGGTATTTCTTGCGGTGAGCAATTCTCTCCTCTTCTGTGACTTCGGACGCTGCTGCAGGCTTCGGTTCCGGTCGCTTCGGGGGCCCCTGTAACCAGGTAGGATCCACTCCATCCATCCGCATCTTGTGCTCCACAACTGCAGGAGGTAAACCCACCTTCACCATCTGCAAGTACTTGCCATGCTTGGCTTCATATTCCTTCACTTGTGCCTGATATGCCGCCTCAGCTTCGTCGTCTAAGGCGGGAGCAGGAGTCTCAGGTAGAGGCTTGTTCGGGTCCATATCCAAGATAGATGGGTCCACATTCTCGCTCTGCATTTTGTGCTTTACAACAGGAGCTGGCAGCCCAACTTTGAGCATCTTGAAGTACTTTTCATATGTCGGATGGTCCTTCAGAGGGGTCTGGTCCTTTTGAGAGCTGCTGTTATCAGCAGATGCTGGCGCTGGGGACACTGTCTCGGCTGGTGCTTGGGTCACTTGACGCTGCTTCAACATCGCAGCCAATGGGTGTGCAGCTCCAGATTCCTCCATTGCCACTGGAGGTGGTGGTGACGGTGCAGTTCTCCTTGCGAGCATAGACTCCAACGGATTAACCTTGGGTGTCTTGGTGGTCTCCTCACTCGAAACTGGAGCAGGAGGGGTAGACCGCTTCGCCAGCATGGCCTCTAGTGCGTTAGTCTTGTTTGCGGGAGCCTCCATCGGACTATCGCTATCCGTTGACGTAGCCGATCGCTTCGCCAGCATCTCGGCCAACATGTTGCTCCGATCCATAGCGGGACTTTTCTGTACGACAGGCTCGAGTCTTACTCGAGCGATCTCGTCTGGTCTTGCTACTGGGACGTGCTCCTCCTCATCTACGTCTTCGTTCGGCGTAGGGAGCATGCGGTTGGCCAGCATATCTGCTACACTGGCATGTCGGTCCACACCAGCGGGCATATGTCGTTGCGAGAGCATGTCTAGTAATCCTCCGCCAAAGAAATCTTCGCTGTTATTTCTTGACCGTGCAGGTGTGGAGTACACAGAGTCAAGATCGTCCATTTGGTCTTCGTCTTCGAGACGCACGTCGGCCATGATATCGAAGGAATCGTATCTCCTACGCTCCTTTTTCTTAAGTGGGGTCCTCTGCACGGGTTCCTCATCGGTCTGGCCCTGTTCCTCTGCCTGTTGTCTGGCTAGCAGCTCCTCCAACGCGCTCTGTAATCGCCCGCGGCCTTGTACTGCGCCGCGTAGCTCGTCCTGCTGGTCGTCGGAAGACGTAGACGACGTCGTGGACGAGTCCCGACTATCGGGGGTACTTTTGGATACGAGATCCCGAACGTCGATCCCCTTGTTATCGTTCTGCGCCGCCTTCTCATCCTCGGCGACATTGACGCTATGGTTGCTATCATCTTGGTTGTCTGTATGCCGGAAGAAATCCTGCACCTTTTGCCGGTCATTCCAAGGTGTCGTAGTGCTATCCTGTGTGCTTACTGCGGCCTGTGGGTTTCCGAAGGGCGTGCGCTGGAAACCACCCATAGGCAGGCCGAACTGCAGCCCATCGGCGCGAGCCGAGCGGCCCCGCACCAAGTGCGGAAGTGTCACACCCGACGGTTGTGCCGGCGCAGTTGCGGCCGGACTGGGTCGCTTATCGGCGCCCATGAGCATAGAGATGAAGGACGGCGCCATTTTCACCTAAGCGGCCGCGAACGCTCCGAGAGAGGGACTGCGCGGGGGCCGCGAGAACAAAATCGAGTCTGCAAATCGAGCGGTCAGACGACGGGAGCACAATGCAATTGCTCCTCCTGTCTGTCACCTTGCAGACAAGACAGCGGCGTTCTCTAAATTCGTGTTTTTGTTGAGTGGTCTGATGTGCCCCTGGATAATACATACGCCGCGAGCCACAAAGCGGAACTCGGTGGTGAGGCTCAGTAGAAACACGCAAGCTCTACTCGCTGCAGCCGATGGTGCAGGAGATGCGTGCTCTAATTTCAATGCAAAATTGAAGTTATGCGATTCTGGGGTAGCAATTTTTTAGATGCTGGATTCTGAGGTGCTTCTCTGACTGAGACATGTTACACAAAATCGTCTTCGACAGGGAATCAAATTCGGCGTGCCAATGTCAACTGGCAAAAACAAATTGAGTTAGGTAAGCATACCGGGAACGAGTCACATAGGAACCGCGCATTAAGTATCCGCCACGAATTTCCGGTTAGAGCTCGAGTTTCTTGCACAAATTACAATTTGTAGGGCTTGGAGCGCCCGGATAAGCCCGGTGAAATACCACTTGCTCTCTTGACTCTTTGCGCGACACACGCAGAGCCGAGGCCACCATGACCAGTGATCGTCGAGTCGCCTGTCATTGCAGCAAAAAGCACGGCTGAGTCGCTTAAAGCGACTTGGCATTGAGCAATTACTTCGAGGTAGATAATTGTGAAGTATAGCAGTTGCCTCGATCGAGAACTGTGACATGCTGTGAGCGGGTAATACACCACAAAAGCAAATTTTTTTGGCCCAGCGATGCGGAAAGTGACGACCGACGGCAGCGCGAGCCAACGTGAAGACTTGCGCCACTGCACTTCGTGGGGCTTTGCCTCGCCTGGAACTCGCCGCGCGCTAGCTTCAAACGAACATTGTGATCGCATAAGATACTTTCAGTCACTTGGGCTTTGTAAAGTTCGAACTATGGGCACCGTAGACTCTTCGAAACTACAACACACAAATCCTGTCAAGATGTATAGTGCAAATGTTGGAAAAAATAACTTAAGGACTCCTGATAACAAATATACCCGAGCAGACAGATACATTTGCTTCGCTACGAAAGGCGCATGGTCCAACCTTGCGTTCCTTTTGTTGAAGTCTGAGGTGAGCCGTCTCGTCTGACAGAATAGTGTTCGGTTCAATCTACTCTGATACGGCATACATGTATTGTAGCCTCTCTATCAGCATGTCTTAGCCCCACAGCGAGTGCCTGTTGCAACAGCAAGCACACGCGCCTGCTGCTGCAGGCTGCACCTCAGATTCTGGGCCGTAGATACAACACGTAATGGAACACTGTCGAAACCTTCGAGGAGAGCCATCGACGAATCCATTTTATATGGCGCGTAGGCTTCGAAGAAGCCACTAGATATTTGGGTCTACAAATACTGGAGCCAAGACACCACAAACGCGCAACTTCAACTGCTACGCTCGATGCGCCGACCATCATCAAGCTGTGGACGAGCAAAAGTGATGGGTACGCGATCATCTTGAAGTCCGATCCACGATCTTATGAGCGGGTTGCCGAAGTGCTTGTCCAGCGTTAAGCGCTCAGTCCGGAAGCTCATAAGCGCGATAGTATGGATCCAGCTCGAGTTGAGTTGCGGGTACAAGATGATCGCGCGCGCCCTCGCGAGACGCACCACTCCTGCTCACCGCCATGGAAAGACAGATGTGCACAGGTTAGACAGCGTATCAAAGAGCAAGCTGCAGCCGCGGGTGCGGCTGCGGACTGAAACCAAGTGCAAGAACGAACCATTCGTCGTGAAGACCGTCGCTGTTGACGGTCGGAAGCACCTTCAGCGGTCGGTGAATACCGTAGCAGAATGAGCGGTGACTGGGCCAATTGCTGGTTAGCCAAACGTCACCTCAGCCGGTTGATCACAAGGCTCACCTTCGATAAGAGTTTTGGTGCTGCACGCTCGCGGACGAGGTGCGGCAGCGGTATTGGCAGTACTGGAACACCGTGATCTCGGCCGGGTCGCTATAGACTGGGTGGTCCGGGTCAGCGTGCGTCAAGAAGTCCCTCCGAATACCGGACTATGATAAGGCAAAAAAAAAAAAAAACAGTTCAACAAGATCAGGACTTGAAGTGCTGGCTCAACCGAGCTTATGCCAACTGGCGAGCACACCCGCAACTGCGCGTACATTGAGAGGGTGCATACAGCAGGACACGCAGTGCTCAAACACATCACAGCAGTGCGGTGGATTGGTATCACACTGGTCGCACGTGTACTGCTTTATCCGAGGAAGACTAGCATCGGTCTCATTGCAGCAACCAGGTTTCACCTTGTCCAGCTGAGACCGAGTACACACATAACCTAGTAGCAATAAAATTGCAAACGTTTGAGCCTCAAGACCAATCCAAACAACACGTGCACTGCATCACCAGCAAAAGCACAATCCTCCGGTCACCTACCCATCGAATCTGTTAGAATCTTCACACCCTGGACGGTATTCTCGCATCTCAGCTGCGTTTGGTCCAGCTTGAGTCCGTCATCTCCTTCACGAAGAAACATTTGCCTGCGCCCTGGCACCGTGGTGTCAACACGGTCCACTATAATACGCGAGCGGATTTTTTCTTCGTCCAGCTCTCCCGCACTGCACGCCGCCGATAAATCCGTCAATGTTCACCAAAATTTGAGATCTATTAGGCATTCTCACCTCACTTTTGCACCTCGTCCTGCTGGAAAACGCATGCGCCCGATGGTCAGCACGATGTAGGGTAGTGCAAATGCCAGCCCAAGTGCAAGCAGCACTCGTAGTGTGCCCATTTTCTTCCTTGGGTACACCGATACGCGGATGGACTGCACTAGCCAGCGGTCTATAAACGCAATATAGCGCGGCACGTTGCGCTGAAGACACTGTAGGCCGCGCCGGCCCAGTTCCACGAATACCTGGCTCAAGAACATGACGGCTACCATGAACGTCCGCCAGCGCGAGTCTCGAGCGTGTCGCTCCTGCCGCGCGCGCTGCTCGGACGCCAGCCGGTTCTCTCCCTCGCGCGTCAGCTCTGCCAGAACTTCGTCGTCTGTCTCATCCTCCGCTCGGTTCACGCCGCGCAGCATTCCGTCTGCGCCTCAATGAAGCCATCGGTAAAAAGCGAGAAGTTGCTGAAAGAATTTGAAAGTTGCCATAAGGTTTAAGGAGCAACATAAATTAAAGTTGCAGCAGCGTGACTTCACACCCAGTCCTGGGTGTCAAGGTGCGACCAAGCATTCGACCGAGAGATACTTAACTTGGTACAACAATGCTATTGATCGACACCCGTTTTCTTTTCTTTGCCATGGCAGCGATTTTTTTTACTAAGCCGTAGACATTTACAGCAGCAGCAGCGCAGAAAGCACACCTTCCTATTTCGAAGCAAACCCTACGTATTTAAGTTTCAGGCGCATTTACTCGAAGCTAGGAAGCCTGCATATCTAATCTGTGGCGCACCATTCGAAGCTTTTAGTAGATATAGAACTACTTTTGTTGCACCCCGCCGTCATGAGAAATACTCGATCGACGCTGTCTTGTTTTGTTTGCTCAAATGAAACACAATTGCCGTGTGTCTTGCTGTCCAACCGAGCGGTAGAAAGAATGAGAAAAACTGGGAGACGACGACGCGGAACTAGCATGAAGAAAAGAATCCCAATCAGAGGCCAGGACCGAGTTCCTCTCTCATTTTCTGCGTCACCCGGTAAAAGCTCAGCAAGTTCATTTTCGCAACTAGCAACTTGGATGGAAGATATAGCCGCCGACATCTTTGCAGGCCCATTGCTCTCTTCTCTCTTCCGATTGTCCATGAACTCGACGGGAGAAACAGCTGAGCCCATGGCTGCGTTTGTACCGAGGAATTGGACGCACGAACTGACGGTTGCTGAGGGCATTACTCTCGTGGCATTGCCACTAGTAGCCTTGGTATTGATCTACGTGCTGCTTCGAATCGTTTGGAAGGTACCAGATTCGCCCGAGCTACCTCAACACACGCTGCCTTCGTATGGTTCTGTTACCTCTCAAGAGGAATCCCTTCGACCGGTTCGTCGCCCGAAAACATCGCTGGTCGAGGAAGGAGAGGTTGCTGGTGACTACAGGAAGCACTGGTACAACACGTTCGACTTCGCATTCATGCTCGGCATGATTGTCTACGCCGCCGCGATGCTCGTGCTGACGTACTCCTACGAGCCGCAATGGTTACATGGAACACACTTCTGGCTCATGCAGCTTCCGAAGTTGGCAGTGATGATGCTGGTATCACTGATTGGTGGCGTTATTTGTCGTGTCTTCTGTGATGTCGACGAGAAGGGCTACATCATGACCAACAAGTCGTCCAAGTTCAAGGTCAACTACACTCGTAAGCTGCAGCACTTTGCCGCCTACATGGTGCCGCTGGTTATTAAGTCTGAATACTCTGGTCCGATCGCTCTGGCCTGGGGTGACTTCTTCACTATGCTGGGCTTCCTCGTGCTCATCAAGCCCATCCGTGAGCACTCCAAGTTCTTCATGCTGCAGTTCAACTCTCTGGACCGCCCGGAAGATCGTCCGAACACGCTCAAGTGGATCATCCTGGGCAACATCGCTCCTGGTATGTTCATTCTGATGTTCTTCAAGTGGCTATTCGCTGCTCAAGGAGCTTTGACGTTCATCCTCGTGTTTATCACGGGCATCGGCGACGGTCTAGCGGAGCCTGTGGGTATCACGTGGGGTCGTCACAAGTACAAGACGCGCAGCTGCTTCTCGAAGAACAAGTACACTCGTAGCTGGGAGGGCAGTGTGTGTGTGTTCCTGTCTGGTCTGGTGTTCCCTGCTCTGCAGTACGCCGCGTTCGACAACTTCTGGCAGGTGCTGCTGTCGATGCTGATCCTGGCGCCGACAATGGCGTACGCAGAGGCGACTGCTCCGCACACGATGGACACGCCTGTGCTGATGACCGGCTGCGGTGTGATCCTGTACGCCATTGTGAACATCGTTTAAGCTCAACGATCTCTTCAAGTTGAAGCGCTTGCCAAAAGGCTACATTTTAAATGAACTTGATTGGTTGAAAATAATTAGCTTCTTTTTGATACTACAGTATTCACTTCCAAGGATGTTCTTGCGCGACAACGAGCTGGCTCGTGGGGGCAGGCGCGGCGACCGCGCGCGTGTGCTGCAGCTGGCGAGAGAGCAGCGAGAGGCACGTGGCCGACGCAAGGAGCAGGAGACGGCAGCCAAGCAGCTGCAGGCGTTTGTGCGTGGGCGTCTCGCTGCTCGACGCTTACGGACGCACTCGCGATCCGAATTTGACCAAAAACTGGGCGACATTGCGAAGTTGAAGGTTATTTTGCAACTGCCCCACATGCCGCTGCCTTACGACGCACTTTTTGAGGTGAAAACCTGCAGGAATCGACCATTTTGAGGATCGTGCGTCCTGGAGAAGATGGCTAACACAAAATTTGTTATGATATTGGTGTAGTTGCTGCGTTTGATGCTGTCCTTCTACACTGGAAGTGGAGAAGATGCAGACAGGTTGCTGCAGTTGAGCTCACTATTTGCAGACACGCTGGTTGCTTCTTCAGACGGGATCAAAGGGAACGAGGGGATGCAGAGAGACTGGCAACTGCGACGACTCGTTGATTTGTGTCTGCAATGCAGCAGTGCGTCGTCATCTACAGTAGAAGTGTCTGTGGGGTTTAAGACCGTGCGGGTATTGATGGATGCCTTGCCGGAGATCCAACAGTACATGGTTTCTGGTCGGTTGGTTGTGTTCGACCCCCGGAAGGAGCTATACATCGAGATGCCCAAAGCTTCGGTGACTCAAATTGTCCGACAGCAACTGGTTTTGACACGGGGCCAGGTCCCGATGTCGGCCAATGTGAAAGAGACTCCGTATTGCAATGCGTTGGTAACTTTTGTGGTGCATCTTCTTACGACGACAAGTGGCATTCTTGAGGCATTTGTGATGGAAGTAAGTGGTGGCGACAATTATAAGCTTATGACCTTGTGCTAACGTTGGACTTATGTGAATTGACAGATCTTTTCAGTGCCTCTGTTGAACCAAGTGGTAGCAAGTGACCGACTGCTCCAACTTACGAACTTGTCGTTGTGGAATAGACTGCTTAGTGCTGGACTGCACTTGTCCGTATTCGACTTCCCCGCCTCACCAGTTACTGGGATTGCATCTGAAGCCTGGTTTCTCGGAAACATTCTTTGGATATCTGACCGGTAAGCACTGGCAAAAAGCATCGGAAACCAGGAGGATCTGACAATTTGTTAATGTGTAGTGTGGAGGGTAAAACCGACACTATCGTTCTGAATGAGGTTCAGCTCCTCTCAAAACTGCTGCAATCTGTGCCACCAGCAACGTACGCTGCTTCGGGAGTGGCTGTGTCGTGGACAAAAGTATCCGAGTCTCACTCCGTGCCCGTGGTGTTCCCAGAAGCTTTGAACGAGCAGCTACAAATTTTGGTTAATGACCACTATCTGCGCTCAATGTGTAATCACCTCCTTTCGTTTTCTCCGAGCGCTCTTCGCCACCCGCTGGCGACACAACGACCGACGCCGATGTGCCCCGAAGCGCCAACAATTGCGGTAAGAGCAAGCACCTTATATATATATGCACCCTCTTCGATTTTAAGCTAACCATTGTTCCTATTGCTACATCTAGGAACAATTTGGGTTCGGTGATATCGCATCTGCGTCTTCGTTGTCAACTTCACTTTCGGTAACGTGGCAGAAGGTGAAATCAATTGGCAAGGCGACGTGGGCTCGGAATTTGTTCGAGAAAGCTGGATTACGGCGTAGACGAGAGAGCGACCAAGAGGTTAATGCCGTCGAGGATGCTACTCAGTTGCAGAATACTTCCAGACAAGCGCGTCAAATTGCTGCAAACGGCGTTGATGATAAGAGAAAATCAAGAAGCTCAACAGTTCAGCGTACAGCAACGAAGAAGCTGTACGAAAGCTCGGAACCTTTCGTGCTGGATAACATTAAGGCACTGTCATGCTTGTGCGGGACATTCCTGTTTCGGTGGGGAAATGATGGTGGAAAGCGGCAGTCCTACGCAATGCGCTTACTCAACACATTGGCGTTCTATCATGTGGAGATTGTCGAGACTGAAGAAGATGAAACGCAGAACGTGTCTCTGGTTCGAATGCTGTGGTGTGTACTGCAAGACATCAGAAATTTTGAAGACTTCGCCAAGGTAAAGCTAGTGCCAACGTTGGTGTTTTAATGATCTTTAACTGGCTAACGACGCGATACATGGCAGAATGTGGACTTGATTCATGCGCGCAGTTCAGACCCGTATGTGTGCATGTTGGTGCTGTTTTGTATGTTATACGAACATCTACTGGTTGTTATGGATGACGAAGAGGTGAGCTCTGCATTGTTTTAACAGGCATGCCTTTTTGCCGATGTTGTATTGACTGTGTTCCATGCTTGTGCAGATGTACGAGCAAGAGTACCCGCTGCCTCTTTGCCAGATCGAGCGGATTGTAGTGAGTCTGAAGCATGCGCTTCATGAAGCGTATTGGAATTACGCCAATCTCGCTCCATCTTCTGAATCCGTTGCGTTTGGCATGTTTGTCGTGGAAATGGCGACTCGTTTGATGCGAGTTCTCTATAATCGGTGTTCTCGTCAGCCTTTTTGCAATGTCTCGAGCTGGTACGCTGCTGCTAATTCAACATCTTTCGCGATGATAACTAATTCCTGTGTACGTCTACTCATTGCAGGATCATTGCCGAGTTGGATAGCAACCAATTGATTGAAGAGGTTTTGCTGGGCACACCTCGAGCCAACAAGCTAATCCAATCGATGCCATATCTGGTACCTTTTAGTGACCGGGTCAAATTATTCCAACGACTCGTCAAGGCCGACAAGGAAATCCACCAGAATGAAAGCTGCTCGGTGTACCGTATCCGGATCCA